AGTGGATTTGCTTGCCTAAGTTTGGGAACCATAAGAGTAGGGCACCAACTCACAGAATGATTTCTGTTCATTTTTAATGATTTATTCTACCACCACCCATGTAAGTAAAGTGGATCATCCTCTGAGGATCTGGACATTCAGTCACCTTTGGTCCACAAAGCTAAAACCTTAAGTGAAATATAGTTACATAGCCTCTTTATGTATAAACTTTATGTATGTAGCTAAACCATGCAGTACCAAATAAAGAAGAAAAAGGTTTAAGTATAAAGTGTGCACTGTGTTGATTCTTTGGTTAACATGTTTGCTTATATTTTTCCTTTGAACTGACATTATAATTTTTCAGATCCATCACTGTGTATAGACTGGTGTTGTCAGAGCCTGGCTACCTAGGTCCAGAGCTCCATACTGTACTATAGGGTTATATCTTATCATTTCTTATGCTGAACAACAAATTCAAGCCCTGAGCTTCAATACTTCAGGATGCTTTGGGCAGAATATGAAATGATCCAGAGAGTATTTAAAGGAGATGGAAAGAGTACACAGGGTCATTGTACCAAAAGGAATTGGCTGATACAGAAGAATTTCATGAAACAACATATGAGCAAAAACCTATGGTGATGAAGGAAGAAGCTCAAACTTCTCTGAAACAATTGGTAAAAAACAAGGCTCCAGGAATTGACAGTATACCAATTGATGTAGTTCAACAAACAGATGCTGCTCTACATGTGCTCATCAAGTTGTGCTAAGAAATCTGGAGAACAGCCAGCCGGCCAACTGACTGGAAGAGATCTATTTTTTTTTCCCCATTCCAAAGAAAGGTGACCCAACAGAGTATGGAAACTATAGAACAGTATCATTAATATCAGATGCAAGCAAGATTCTGCTGAAGATTATCCAAAAACGACTGGAACAGCACATCAGCAGAGAACTTCTCAAAGTACAGGCTGGGTTTAGAAGAGGCTGTGGTACTAAGGATATTGTAGCTAATGTTAGATGGATCTTGGTTGAAAACAAGGAATACCAGAGGAGTGCCTATCTGTGTTTCATTGACTGTGCAAAGGCATTTGACTTTGTAGACCATAACAAACTGTAGCTAACTCTGAGAAGAATGGGAATCCAGAACACTTGATCATGCTAATGCAAAACCTATACTTGGACCAGGAGGCAGTTGTCCAGAAGGAACACTGCACATGATTCAAAATTGGGGAGGGTACACACCAGGGATGTGTCTTATCTCCATACCTTTTCAGTCTATATGCAGAACAGATTAACTGGGAGGCTGGACTCTATGAGGAGAAATGTGACATCAGGATTTGAGGAAGACTATCAACAGCCTGCATTAGGCAGATGACACAGTGCTGCTTGCTGAAACTAAGGAGAACCTGAAGTGCTTGCTGCAGAAGGTAAAGGACTGCAGCCTTCAATATGTTTTGAAGCTCAGTATCAAGCAAACAAAGATTCTCACCACTGGGCTGATTGGCAGCATCGTGATGAGTGATGAAGAGATTGAGACTGTAAAAAGCTTTAGTTTGCTTAGCCACACAATCAACATTCTTGGCACCATCAGCCTGAAAATTAAAAGACATTATTGTGCTGGGATAGTCTGCTGTCAGAGACCTCTCCAGAGTACTGAAGAGCAGTGATATCAGTCTGGAGACTAAGGTGCGCCTGATACAGGCCATGGTCTTTGCAGTCACTTGCTATGCATCAGAAAGCTGGATAATGACTAGGGAAAACATAAGGAAAATTGATGCCTTTGAGTTGTGGTATTGGAGAAGAGTATTGACTATACTGTGGACTACTAAGGGAACGAACAGGTTCGTCCTGGAGAGGGTCAAACCAGGCTACTTCTTGGAGGCAAGGATTCTGAAGCTTTGTCTGACATACTTCGGACATGTTGCAAGGAGGGATTAGTCCTTGGAGAGGGACGTCATGCTTGGGAGGGTGGAGGGAACAGCACAGGAGAGAAAGAGCCTTGATGAGATGGATTGATTCAGTGACTGGGGTGATGGGGGTAGATGTGTCAGAGACTGTAAGATTGGCACAGGATAGAGCAGGGTTTAGGGCTGTTGTACATAGGGTCACAATGAGTCACAGGCAACTCGATGGCACATAACAACAACAACTTTATAATCAGCTCTTAAATTGATATAAAAAGATTCTTGTGTTTTCTCCACCTTTGAAATTCAAAGCAGTATTCATTCACTTCATCATTTCAACCTCTCTTTTTTTATTTCATTAGCAGGAATCTCATTCACCTATAATTTTGCCCACTCTAGCTCTTTTCTTATGGAACATAAACATCCCACATACAGACAATTTTTGTCTTCAGCTCCTTCAGTTAACATGGAGACTTTCTTAGTGAATGACTCAGCATGATTCAGCAGCCTGTTTTGTCTTTGGAAGCCAGTTTTACAGAGTTATTGTTGTTGCTATCACGTTGATTCTAGGCATTTTTAGTGGTTAAACTGTTATCTGGGTTTTTTATGTTGTTGTTATGTACTGTTGAGTCAAAACTGACGCATAGCTGACCCTTCAGTGGGTTTTCAGAGGCAGTAAATCACACAGGATGAGATTATCTATCCTCCTACCACAGAGTATCTGGTAGATTCAAACCATGTACATTTGGAATTGCAGCACAGCTTCTTGTTACTAGGACAGCACAGGAGAGGAAGACCCTGCATGAAATGAATTGATAGTAACTGGGGCAATGTGTACAAGTCAATGAGACTGGCTCGGCACAGGACAGGCTTCACAGCTGTTGTACATGGAATCGCCATGAGTCGCAGGAGACTTGATGGCACAGAAAAATAACAGCTATCATCTAGAGAAATTAGATTGAATTTTGTTCCTGTTTACTGCTTCAGTCCAGTTCTGTGATGATAAGGATCCAGGTGAATGTTAGAATAAAATAAATTGTGGAGTTTACATTTAGAAGGAGGAAGTTCCCAGGACTGGAATAAATTTCAGTGATTCAGAAGTAGAAGAATATTTTACATTTACTCTCTGCCTAATTGCAGAGTGAATTTTGTTTGACCAGCATTTATTATTGAGAAAGCTGTGTTATTAACTGTTGAGGAGAGGGAAGACGACAGCCTGGGGACCATGTAATGACAGCTGTACTAAATGGACACAGTGATGTTTCTTTCAACTCTTTGTTGTGGAGTTCTGTAGTGCCTCATCTTTGCTTCAAAAGTTTCTTTATAGGAAACTCCTAGTCATGAGAAAAATCTCCATGATTGAGAAGCAGAGAAAGGTGGTGTTCTTTGCATTTACCAGGTTGGTAACCAAAATCAGTTTGAACCCACCAGCTTTGGGGGTGAGGGCAATGAGCAGTTTCTTCCAGCACAGATTCAGAGCCTTGACATCCTGATGGAGGATTGCTGTAAGGCAGACTCTGCTTGACAGCAGTGGGTTTGGTAGTTGGCTTTAGGCCTTTAGGTCAGTCTAAAAGTCGTTTGGGTTTTTTCCCCTCCTCACGATACACCTCAGTTATTAAAAGTACTCAAGAACCTGGTTACCATGAAAGAATTCCTTCTGACATGTCCCTAGCAAGGCTCCCCTTCAAAGTGTGGATGACTCTAGTTCTCAGCCACCACTAGTGTTTCCTGGGGCTGTTTTCTAGGGTGGGGGCTTTAGCAGAGTGGAAATTTAGAGGCAGTGACACCTGGGACTGGTTTTTATCTGATGACTAGAAGACAGGGAATAAGTACAAGTATGCATTGCTTAACATTTACTGTATGTTCTATGAAATAGGATGTTACATGATTAGGACATTGTGTGAACCTCTTATTAAAACCTGTGGGAACCCACTTCTGGTTGTCTTCATTATTGCTATAGGAGGTTTGGGCAAAAACTGGAGAAGTAGGTGCTTGCAGTGATGACTGCTGAGAGAATGGTGGTGGGAGTGGGTTGAGAGGAACCTGGTGAGCAAGGAGTGAGCATACTCAGCACTGTCCATGGTCCACTTGTCTGGACCCCAGGAACAGCCCCTGGCACCACTGCTTGCTTGATCAGTGGTCAAAATCAATAGCTATTTCCTCTGCTTGCCTGCTTGTGTCCCATGTATTACCAGTGCTGCAAGACTCTCTATTTGGGGTCTTTAAAACCATTGTTGTGAGGGTTTAGGTAATAAATAAGGGAAGCTCCTTTTTCTAAAAACAACATAAAACAGTCTTGAAATGTGGTGTTGGAGAAGAGTCTTGAATATACTATTGGCTGCCAAAAGAATAAATCTTATTTTGAAGGAAATGAAACCAGGTGGTCCTTAGAAGCAAGGACGGTTAAACTCTATCTCAGCATACTTGGAGCACATGTCATCAGGAGAGAGGCCATTCCTTGGAAGAAAATATGGTGCTAGGAAAGGTAGTGAGTCACTGAAAGAGGAAGACTCAACAAGATGGATTGGTGCAGAAACTATGAGTGTGGGCATGGCATAGAGGAGGATGCTGCAGGACAGGACAAGGTTCAGATCTGTTGTTCCAAGGATCACTGTGAGTTGTATTCTATTCAATAGCACCTAACAAAATGGGACCACAGATATATATGTTGGCAGATGTTGTTTTAATGGACATTAAGCAGCACATACCTGCAATTAGTATAGCTCATGCTGTGATGTCTCTCTGTTGCTTTGTATTAATTTTTGTTGTTGTTGCTGCTTTGTATTATTATGTGTACTCTTGCACCTAGTGATACCATGCATACATTTGCCTGAATTGGTATTGCGGGACAGGCTGTAAAGGTATACTCATTGCCATTGAGTTGATTTTTGACTCAGTGCCCCGTAGCACGGAATTGAATTGGCCCATAGAGTTCCCAAGGCTATAAGCAAACTGCCACATCTTAACCCCTACAGAGTGACTGGTGGGTTCAAACTGCTGACTTTTGATTAGGAGTCAGGCACTTAACCACTGCATCACCAGGGCTCCTTTGTATAATGTTTGAAAATGATTCATTGAAATATTGCTAAATTACATACTTTGTTTTGTATTGTGTTTCAGGATTAAAGCCATAGAGAGTCCCAACAAAGATGATGATACACAGTGGCTGACCTACTGGGTAGTGTATGGTGTGTTCAGCATTGCTGAATTTTTCTCGGATCTCTTCCTATCCTGGTTTCCCTTTTACTACATGCTGAAGGTATGACTTCTCTTTATCTGCTATATTTCCTTCCAAATATATGTTTCTTTTTCTCCCCATCAACTAACATAAATTCTAACTCAGGACCTGAATACAGGAATAAGAATAAATATTTGAATATGGCACATAATGGCTGTCAGGAAGGCAGGATTTAACGTGTCCAGCATCCTTTAAACTATGTACTGCCTTGGAAACAGCCAAAGCAGTAGTATGTTCAAGATAATTTTGATAATAATAGTAATAATGTTGTTGTTATATGCCAAAATCTTTGAACCCTGCCATACCCTAAGCCAGTCTCATTGTCTCCAACACACCTACCCTTATTTTCTGTGCCAGTTAATTTCATGCTAGGTCTTCCTTTCTTGGATTGTCCCTCCACCCTTCAATCATGAAGTCTTTCTACATGGACTGGTCCTCCTAACTAAATGCACAAAGGATGTGAGACAGAGCTTCAAAATCCTTGCCTCCAGGGAACAATCTGGTTTTACCCTCTCCAGGACAAACTTACTTGTTCTCTTGGAAGTCCATTTTAAGTTCAGTACTCTTCTTCATTGACTAGGGAGGATAGAAGGAGAATTGACGCCTTTGAGCTGTGGTGCTGGAGAAGAGTATTGAGAGTACCATGGACTGCAAAGAAAACAAACAGATTCATCCTAGAGAGGGTTAAACCAGGCTACTCCTTGGAGGCAAGGATTCTGGGGTTTTGTCTGACATACTTTGGACATGTTGTAAGGAGAGACAGGTTCTTGGAGAGGGACATCATGCTTGGTAGGGTAGAGGGACAGCACAGGAGGGGAAGACCCTCTATGAGGTGGATTGATTGTCTGACATACTTTGGACATGTTGTAAGGAGAGACAGGTTCTTGGAGAGGGACATCATGCTTGGTAGGGTAGAGGGACAGCACAGGAGGGGAAGACCCTCTATGAGGTGGATTGATTGTCTGACATACTTTGGACATGTTGTAAGGAGAGACAGGTTCTTGGAGAGGGACATCATGCTTGGTAGGGTAGAGGGACAGCACAGGAGGGGAAGACCCTCTATGAGGTGGATTGATTCAGTGACTGGGGTGATCGGGATGGGTGTGTCAGAGGCAATGCGATTGGCACAAGAGAGAGAAGGGTTTAGGGCTGTTGTACATAGGGTCTCTATGAGTCGCAAACAACTCGACGGCACATAACAAAAACAACAACTCTTCTTCAGCACAATAACTTATCACTTCTGTCATTCTTATTCACTCTCCAGCTCTCTCATGCCTAGCAAGTAATTGCAAAGACTCTAGTCTGGATCCAGCACACCTTAGTCTCTAAACTGACATCATTGCTCTTTAGCACTCTGGAGAGGTCCCTGACAGCAGCTTTTCTTGTTACTATTTTTATTTTACTTTTTGTAAAATTTTTTAATTGATATTTTAACAAAGGTTTATAGAAAACTTGGATTTTCACTCATTCATTGATGCACATTTCCTCCCTAACCCTTCCAATTTGCCTTTCTCTTTAAAACAATTCTTTCATTGTTGCACAATTTCCTCCCTCCCTACCCATAACCCCCAGTCCATACACCTCTTACTCTGGACTGTTGTCATGCAAATAACACCTAATCATATATTCCTTTTAAGTAGTTCTTTTCCTCATCTGTTTCAGTGCAGTGTTCATTATTTATAATCCTCTTTTCTTAGTTTTCCCCAAACTCCCATGTCAGTCCTGATTTACAGCAGTGGCATTATGCAGTATTTAACCTTTTATGACTGAGACATTTCACTCAGCATAATGTCCTCCAAAGTCACCCATGTTGTATAATATTTTATTAGTTCTTTGTTTTTCAGTGCTGCATAGTATTCCATTGTAGGATTGTACCACAGCTTCTTTTTCTTTTTTGTACCACAGCTTCTTGATCCATTCATTCCTTGATGGGCACTTAGGTTGCTTCCATCTCTTTGTTGTTGTTAACAATGCAGCAGTAAACATAGGTGTGCATATTATCTGTTTGGAAGGCAGTTCTCTCCCTCATCTTTTTCAATAATTTATCCCATCTTTCTCAGTCTTCCCCCAACCCCAGTGTCAGTCCCGTTTTACAACAGTGGCAGCATGCAGTATTTGTCTTTTTGTGACTGAGACATTTCACTCAGCATAATGCCCTCCAGGGTCACCCATCTTGTATAATATTTCATGAGTTCCTGGTTTTTCAGTGCAGCATAGTATTCCATTTATGACTATACCACATATACCATAGTATTCCATTGTGTGAATATACCACATTAGTTTGTTGATGGGCACTTACATAGTTTCCAGCTCTGTGATTGTGAACAAAGCCGTGATAAACATGGGTGTGCATATATCTGCTTGCGGGGCATTTATGGTTTCTTTGGGGTATATTCCCAGTAGTGGAATTGCTGGGTAAAATGATATTCTATTTGCAACGTTTTGAGAAAGTGCCGTATTGCCTTAGTGATTGCACCATTTTACACTCCCACCAACAGTGATAAAGGGTTCCATCCAGTTTCTCCACAACCTCACCAGCATTTGTTGTTTGCTGCTCTGTTGAACTTTGCTCTTGTTACTGGAGTGAGATGATATCTCATAGATGTTTTGATTTGCATCTCTCTTAGAGCTAGGGATTTTGAACATTTCTGCATGTGTTTGTTCGCCATCTGAATGTCTTTGGTGAAGTGTCTCATTTTTCCAACCATGAAGGGTGGTTTTGAATCCTCTGCCTTTGGGTTAGCAGTGCAAGTCCTTGCTCAGAAGGCCACCTTGTCAGGGTGCTATTCTATCCAATGTCTAGAACAGTACTTTAGCAGGGAACTGCCAGCTTTAAGCAGGGCTTAGAAGAGGCTGTGGCATCAGTGATACCATTACTGATGTCAGGTAGATCCTGGCTGAAAGCAGGGAATATCAGAATCTCTATGTTTTATTGACTATGCAAAGGCATATTCATGTGGATCATAACAAAGGATGGCTAACATTGAGAAGAATGGGGATCCCAGAACACTCAATTGTGCTCATGAGAAATCACTAGCTAGATTAAGAAATTGTTGTTCGAATGGAGCAAGTTTAAAATCAGTTAGGGTGTGCTTATTCGGTCTATGCTCAGTAAATAATTCATGAACTGGACTCTGAAGGAGAATGTAGCTTCAGGATTAGAAGAAGACTCTTCAACAGCATGTGTTATGCTGATAAACCAACCTTGCTTGCTGAAAGCAAGGAGGACTTGAAAGCTTGCTGCAGAGGATCAAGAACTGTACCCTTTAATATGGGTTACATCTCAATATCAATTCATAGAGTGGTTCTTTTCCCCCAAAAGGAACAAACCTCCTTCAGCTGATTCCTCATGTCATCTTTCATATAAGAGACATGGCTTCCAGTTTATTGCATTTAATGCCAGTAGTTCCTTAGGTTCACAGAACCAGACCATCAAACTGGACAAGATCCTGAGTCAACTCTGGGTTCTCATCTTTCTTTTTTATTTTGCCAGTATTTGTTTATAATTAAGAAAAAATTCACAAGACATCAAGACTCGAGTATTCTATATCCCTGTTCCAATTATTTATTCCCCCTTCTTTTCAACACTATTTAACTGAGTTCTTGGTGAAAATGTAGATAACGAGTTAGAGTTCCTTTTGTCAATTTCCACACAGATTGTTGATTGACACTAGTGACATTTGTCACACTGTGTCACTATTTTCTTTTGGTTTAGTTTGTTGTTCCCTTCCCAGTACTCTAGTTTTCCTACCCTTAAATTTCTAATCTTTGCATTTGAGTAATTGCTGACTTCTAGTCTCATGCCAGTGGTTTTTAAGTAAGACACTGATCATAAAGGTTGTTTTTGTTAGGGCCAATGAGTCACCTCTCACTTACGTTGAGTTGAGCATGCTTCATAGCGACTTTATGAGCAAAAGGTCTGAAGCCTTTCTGTAACTATCATCATTTATCAAATTTTATCATAGTTTCCAGAGGCATGGTGTTTAGGAAGTGGATGCCACTTAATGTATCACTTATAGTGACCCTATAAACAGATCTGAACTTTGACTTATCCTGCACCATGTTAATGAACCCTGTCACACTTAAACCCTTGGGAGTAGTCACTGTGTCTGTCCTTCTTGTTGAGGGTCTTTCTCTCTTTTTCTGACCCTCACCTTTGTTAGCATGATGTCTCACTGCAAAGATTGGTTACTCCTAATAATATGCCCCAAAGTAAGTGAAATGAAGCTTCATCATCCTTTAAAGAAAACTGGTTGTACTTTCTTCAAGACAAATTTGGTTTTTTCTTTTGGCAGTCCACAATATAGTCAATACTTTTCTCCAGCATCACAATTGAACAAATCAATTCTTCTGTCATCTTTATTTATTGTCCCAACTTTCAGATGGATAGGAAGTAACTGAGAATACTATGGCTTGGGTCAGGCCAGGTTCTTAAGGGAGATATCCTTAATGTTGTATGCCACTTTGCTGTTTTGCTAAAATAGGTCTCAGAAGACAGGCTTGGTTCTAGATTTAAAAAGTGTCTTAGGTGATTACCTCAGGGAGTCCTCTGGTCTTTGCTGTTCCAGTTTGTCTGGCTTTTTTGGTGTTTGGATTTTTGGGGGTTCCCCCCCCCATTTTAATAATGATTTGAGTCCTGCTCTTTATTTTTGTCCTGTTTTATCATGGACCAGCTGTTACACTTCTGGTGAGAACAATATTAAAAGCAACCACTGTCCTTTCTTGGCAGATATTTTGTCATTTAGGTCCGTCTCTAAGTAAAGTATGTGTATATCCACCTTTAGATACTCCTGCTTCTTGATTCCCGCTGGGAGACAAGGATGTTACTCTTTTCTCACTCTTTCCTTTTTCTTTTCTCACTCTTTCCTTTTACATGTATGCAGCCTTTCCATGCTTCCATCCTTCTAATGCCTTTTTATCACAGTTTTGGTTTGATAAATATTTATTCTCTCATTATTAATACTACTGTGACACAGTGACAGCAGCAGTAGGCTCAAGGATGTCAGAAATGGCACAGGATA